AAGTTTTACCACTGCCTGTCCAAGGTGGCAAGAACTATGTGGGATTAGACAATTTGTATGCCAACTCCAACACACACCACACCGCCGCCATCCCAGTTCGCCGTTCGCCACAGTCTGAGCACGAACCCAGCTTGCGGTTGAACAGGCCTCCAGACCCCTAACCAGACACAGACCAAGACCCAGGCCAAGACCAAGACCAAAGCAACCGCCGTCCGCATTAAGCCACAACTGATGTTTACATTTTTAACTACGGCCAAAGAAAGTTTTGCCCTGCCAGCAGAAAACTCAACGCTGCCAGGCGAGACAGGGCAGCCGCCCCCCCCCCCCCCCTTTACGTTGCCCTCCCACTCTGCGGCCCACTCTCACCCTCTCCTTGGGCCAGCTCCATCCCCGTTTGGGCATAAAATTTAATGCATATAATATTGGCTAATGATGTTTGCAGTTGCGGAGCTTAGGAGAGCATTAAGTTGGCCAAGTCCCGGACACCTGCTGTCCCCAAAGCTGCTCCACCCTCTGCCCATTTCTTATATAACTTACTGAGGCAATTAAATTCGCAGCGCAGTCCCAGTCGAAGGGATCTCCCCATATTGATCCAGGGCAAGAAATACGCAAATATTTATGTACATATAAATGTATATGCTGGTGAGCGATGATCACATTGCAGGCTTATATGGGTGTTTGGTCAGTTTGAAATGAACTCTTATTCCGGTGTCCAAACAATTTCAAACTCATTAAAAATTGATTGACAATCCCCACCCACGCACAGAGAGAGAGAGAGAGAGAGACACAACAAACAGCAATCTGTAGCTATGGGCAGAAATCTAATTGGAGACTTTATGGCCAACACACACATTTGGATGTCTGTCCCAGCGGGAGATGGACTGATATGCGAGAGTTGACCAGGGGAGCAATTCCGCTGCATGTTTGATGACTTGCACGTTGCCACGTTGCCGGCAACACACATGTCGCCATTGTGATGGCTTTGGGCTGGGTTGGGTTGGGCTGGGCTGCTGTGGGAGGGAAGACAAAGCCCGAGTGTGACATAATTAAACGCCGTTTCCTGTCGCCAGGCTAATGAGCAACAGAAAGAGACCGCGTCAGCTGACCGAGAGAGTGAGTGGGTGAGAGCGAAAGGGTTTTTGCTCAATTGTTGGGGGTGCTGTAAAGTAGGTTAATGGGAAATGATGGAGCAGGCAGAACGGGTTGTGTATGCATTTTAAATGATTGCATAAATACACAATCTGTTTAATTTGAAGCAGCAGCAACAGAGAGACAGCGAGAAGCAGAGAGAGGGAGAGATGGCATGCAAGGGGAAGCTTTGATTTAGCAGCAGAAGGCAGGAGCAGCACAGCATCCTGACCCTAATGACAGGAAATTATGCGGTCAATCACGCACTCGCACAAACACACCACACACAGACACAAATAGAGACAGGCCACAAAAACAAATCATTATGGCCACAAAATCATCGTTGGGCCATCATCAACCAACAAGCTGGCAAATTGCATTGCCATTCCTTTGGCCGGGCCAGAAACCATTCGGAAAACATTCGAAATTTGCTTAATTGAAAGTCAAAATGGGAGAGCACCGCAAAAACTTCAAACATTCGAATCGCAGATGAAAGCAATTAAGACTATTCGCATTTGGACGAGCACATCCTCCTGCTCTTTGGTGCTGGAATCATCTGTCTTCTGCAGGCATTTGTCTCCTTCACGCGCAGGATATAACACGCACACAGGACACGACACGACATGCATGGGTGTGACGGGTGAGCAGAAGCGCATTTAGTAAATTAAAAGTGAATTTATTGCTCACTAAATGCAGCAATTGCCATGTGCATCCTTGCCATATACCTTCTTGCCGCAGCCTCTCTCTGCCACTCGAGTCCTGCCAAATGCCCCCGAGTGCGTGTTTGTTTTTTGTCCGCTTACGTGGGTTTGCTTAATCTTTGACAAGCAGCCAGAGGTCGTTGCCACAGAGACACAGACAGCGGTAGAGTCAGAGCCATTGGCTGGAGTGTGCTCCAGCCACTCGGGCAATCAGAGTAAACAATGCACGGGATGTGCGGCAGGATCTGTATGTGCAGGATGTGCAGTGGTAGCTGAGCTAACTCCAACCGGAAATAGCAATTCCCTGCAAAAACTAAGAGCTGGCGAACTAATTAATTATATCATTACACTGAAGCGAGTAAGACTTGAAAAGTGCAGAAACTACTCCCGGGAGAGTGTCCCTAACCCAAGAGATGGTCCCCTGAGGCCACGTGACTCCATTCTCAGTCTTCGCTGTTGTCAGTCAGCCCACGCATCCATCAACAGCTAAGCTCAGAGCTGAGAAATGATACTCAAATACTTATGAAAACTGTGGCTCTGGAATGCCGCAGTTGCAGCAGCGATACGGAAACCTTCTTGGCCCTTTTGGCTGCCATGAGCAGTGGGGGCCCATAAAATGGCAGAACAGGCCAGAAGTGCACGCTGGCAAAATAAATTGGTAATTGCATGCGGCAAGGCAGGCATTTAATGAAACGAAACAGGACATGCAAATGGGAATGGCAGGCACAGATCCTGCCGGGGAGCCACAGCCACAGCCCCTGCCCGGCCGGTGACATAATGAATAGGATTTTGGGTTTCTGCGGCAACGGCAAGTGGCGCATCGACATGAGCTGCTTGTTGAGGCAGGACGACTCCGCTGCCAGGGCAACAATGCAATTTGCACCAGAGCCAAAAAGGATATGCAAAACGATAGCGCTCAGAAGACAGTGGAGCCAGGCCCACAGGAGGTGCCAGGAGGTGCAGGATGAGGTGGAGGTCCATGGAAACAGATGTTGCATCTTTGTTGAAAAGCAGCCAATTTGGAGCTCCACTCGCCGAAGATAGACATGGCAGAGTGACAAAAATTTAATATGGAAACCGCCCCAGAAGGAGGCGTGCAAGCGGAAAACAAACGACCCACAAAAAAAAAAAAACAAAAAGGAGCCGTGAGAACGCGCGAAGAGAAAGGCGAACAGAATAAACGGGAAAATAATCGGCGCACAATGCATTGGCAATGAGCCAAGGCTGCACACGGCCGGGGATCCACCAAGAGCAGGAGAAGCACATAAAAAGAGAGAGAGATAAAGGGTGGGTCTGTCTGTGGCTGTGGCTGTGCTATCGATAAAATTGTGGTCGTGACATGGGGCAGCCGATAAAGCCGCTTGCCAGCAACGAAAATGGGCGTAACAAATGAGGGCAGGTGAGCTCAAGGGCGTGGCAGGTTTAATCCGTGCCGGAGGGAGGGAGGGGGCGTTGCGGGTAGACATGTAAAAATTAATTAAGCCCCACACTCAGGGAACACACCAAATAGAGGACGCGAGCTAATTGAGGATATGCCACAGAGTTGGGTCATTTCTAGCCCTGCCAACTTCAGTTCGAAATTCACAATCCAAATTGGCTCAGTTGGAGCAGTTTTCGGCGGGGCTCTCCCATCGATTGGCACACAGAAACCGCATCAAAAAACGACTCTGTTTGCCTTTGTCTCCTCAAATGTCCACACAAAACTTTCAATTACAGCCTAGTGTCAGAGTTCAACAAACAAAGCAAGCTGGAGTGGAACGTTGGGGCCGTCGGGCGAACCAGTGGCCCGGGCAAACATTTCAATTTGCCTGCCGACAGCCAGCCCCAGCTGACAAGAGCCAAACAACACATAAAAACTGGCAGCAAAGAAGCGAGAAATCGAGTGCGGATTGGCCCACAAATCGGACAAATAGTGGCACAACAAAACGAATGTTATGGAGCAGAAAAAGTCGGGGACAACGCGACTGCAGCAGAGTGGATTTCATATCCTGTGCGAGCGGATGTGACAGCAAGCGGCTGAGGGCCAAATCCAGGCTCCAGGCATGGCTCTCGGGTTGTGACTGTGTGGCTCTGGGTGGTTATATATCCCCCAGTTATTCATACATCAGGCGGCATATTAGTTTACAGCGAAATATGCAATATCCAGTTACGTTAGCAGGTGTGCCGCCCAGGCCAGCTGTAAAAAAAGCCAAAGCCAAAGCTACCCGGAAACCCTCGATGACTGTCGATGGGGCAATCGAAATAACAAAATAGCTCAGCGCTTGCCATATTTGTATTCTATCTATTCATGTGTGCGAGTGTTTGTTTGCGTCAGTGTGACAGACACCCAACCATGGCCGAAATGTACAACAAATTATAGCCTCGCTCAACTACTCACAACACAAGCCCCACAGCTCCTGCTTTTATTTCTTAACATCAAAGGTAACTTTTAATTGGAGCTAAAATAAATCAATTCAAATAAATAAATATTCTCTTCGTAAATGTAATATTTCTAAATAAAACGAGCAAAACTATCATTGAAAAGTTTCCCACTTAAATCTCCATTCAAATCAAATACTAAGCCAATTTCGAAGAGTGCCCCCCAAGACAATTAGCTGCATTTTCTTTGAAAATTGGCCTTAGGTTTTAAGCTCATTTTGAAATGGATAAATGTGTTGTGCATCTATTGCGTTGGGCAGTTATTTTGATTTACAGCTGCCAACAAAAAAAGAGAAATAAAAAGGAACACATGCCATGGGAATGCGCCTGTCTATGGCTGCAGCTGCCCTGCCCTGCCCTGGCTCTGGCTCTGACTCTGTGCACAAATATTTAGTTTATAAATATTATTCCATTATTTTCACATGCATGTGCAGCAGCAGTTTTTTTCTGTGTGGGGCTTATTGGCGCAGAAAATTGAATTAAAATGTGGTCGAAATGTTGAAAGCAGCGCCCGACATTTTGCTCCAGTCATGGGCCAGAACCGCAGGGCTTATGTGTGATTTGAGGTGAAACTGCAGCAGCAAACCAGCAAACCAGCAACTTGCCGCTTGAAGCTTGCCACACACAATAAAGTTTTCCTGCCAAGATGTGCCACTCCGCTGGGCAGGGGGATGCAGATTAATTATGTGCGCCGGAAGGTGGACAAAGGATAAGGCACAATGGACAATGGGCCAAGATAAAGCGCATTCCACATGGAATTTTATGGCTTTTAGGTTTAATTAAAGTTCACTCAACTCTGTACGCATCCTACCCTATCGCTCCATCTACGCATAACTAATTTTGAATAGGTCTGAACATCCTTCTACCAGTAGAGCAGCAGCAAGTAGAAGGTCCCCAGGCTGAGCATCAGCAGCGGCAAGATGAGAGCAGCCATACTCCAGGTCTAGGGATTCGCGGAGGGTGCAAAACAGAGAGTAGAGAAGAGACTGCACTTGCACTTACACCCTTCCAGCTGCGTGCCTCCAGCCCCCGATGCTCCTCCAGTGTGCGCCGACAGAGCGGACAGCGCTCGGCCACCCAGCTGCGCGCCTCGCGGTAGATCTCCAGGCAGCTCCTGCAAAAGGAGTGATTGCAGCGCAGCTTCACCGGATTCTGCAGCTGATCCAGGCAGAAGGCACACACCTCAGCCTCCTCCTCCTCCTGCTGCTGCTGCTGCTGCTGACCGTTCTCCAGGCTGCGTTTCCGTTGCAGCATGATTGGGCGGAGGTCTGTTAATGTAAATGTCTGTCTGTGTGTGTGTGTGTGTGTGTGTGCTGTAGCGTGTCTGTGTGTGTTTGTGTTTGTGTTTGTGTTTAGATACTAAAAATTTAGAAACTCCTTTGACACGAAAGCCAGAGAGCAGGGGAGCTCCGTTTTAATTAAAATTCGCAGCCATAAATCTGAGCGAAAAACACCTTAAGCCGGGAGCAGGACTGCGACTCCTTCGAGGCAGCCCAATCAAATTTAATTACATCATCGCTGCCGCAACTGAAGCGGCAAGCATCGAATGCAATTAGTAGTAGCCTTGTACAACTCAATTAGACGCGGGGCAGGGCGCTCGGCAAGTGCCAGCCAGTTGGAGGGATGAGCCAGGGAGGCCAAGTGATTCGCCATGTGTCGCCGTGCAAGGACAACGCTTTGCACTTTGAGGCAAACGACCGCAGAGCAGACGACAAAAATCGAACTTTGGCCAACTACTTTGGCCACATCAAGGCAAGGAGCTGCTGCTGCTACAACAGGACAAGGTTTTTAATTAAGTTCAAACAGCCCGCCAGTCTCAGGCACTAAAAGTCACATCTCATCCGTGGCAAGTCCATGCCAGGACACCCATTCCCATGCCTTCAAAGTCCGTCCAACAAGCGGCTGACAAATTGAATCACTTGCTCACACAGCTGCTGCAGCTGCTGGCGCTTCTTTTCGCAAGTTTTACCATCCATCTGCAGCTACTCCTCACACACATTATTAACGCCCTAAGTCCGTGTTGGCCAATTACATCACCATATAAAACGTATGCCCAAGCTGTCTCTCTTCCACTCTTCCTGCTCCGCTCTCCGTTTTCTGCTCTGCATTTGCATTTGCTCAAGTTGATTAAAAAGTTGCCAATTGCATGACCATCTGCAGACCCATCCTCAGGCCCCGCCCCAGCCAGCCATTCCTGCATTGAATTCAACTTGAGTTGATTGTTTATTGTTTGGCATGCAGAAATTGTTTGTGATTGTTGCTGCCTCGCTGGAGGGATCAACTTTGTGCTCCCCTCGGCAAGTTGTTAAATTTGCAACTTGAATTAATTTGCCAGAGTTTCCCCTTAATTATATATGCTTATGAATGCCCGAGCAAGTGCTCGGGTAACTTTTCTCGAGCCTTGAACTACTCGCAGGTGCTCGATTCTCGAAGCCAAGCCAAAGACCGGCTCACCGAAGGATAAACACAACTTGGCTTAATCGCAGGAAGAGCCCAGAGAGCTGAAGTTTTCTCTACAGATTCCGTCTGTTGTCTGTTGAAGGAATTAAAAGGGAATCGAATGAACGATTGGTGGAAGGAAAAATGAATGCAGAGAGCTGAAAGCGCAAACATTTGTGTTTCAAATCACTTGAAGATGGATGGACTGATTTGATAATAATACTGATTCAAAATGCTCCTAAATTATTCACAAATCATTCCTGCTGCTCCTCCTGCTCTTGTGTGTCTCCTGTGTCCTTCTGTTTCCGCTCCTTGTCGCGGCTTCCAGTGCCGCTAATGAGCTTCGCTTTCCTGCCGGACACGGACCACACACCACGGAGCAGAGCTCAGCTCGTCTCATCTCATCTCTCAGCTCATTTATGCGCTAAGCCTCTGGTTCAGTTTAGACCACAAAACAGCAACAATGGACAACTGGAGCTGGGATCATGGGTTGGCTGGGCTAATGGGCCAACGTGACACCAAATGAATTATGGACTGTAACTGGTTAAAACTGAGAACTGAGAACTGGGACAGGAGCAGGAGCAGAAGCAGAAGCCCTTCGTTAGTGGGTTAATATTTCACTGGTTGAGCAGAGGAGCAGCGGAAACGGATGTTGCCTGAGCAGATTTCCTGCCCCTCGGCGATTTTCTGCGAACAGACAAAGACAAAGGCACTCGTAATGCTTGCCATTGCCGGCGCCTAATTTAATGAGGTGCGCAATTCTCTCTATTTCTACTATTGCTACTGCTCCTTGTCGGAGCTGTGCCACTCACCTCACCTCTGCTTATTTAGCAATTAGCTGAAGTTTTCCCTCGCTTTGCATATCCAAGCCAGCCCCTTTGGGGCATCCCCCAACTAAATGTACAACTAATTGGCAGAAAAGTCTACTAAATTGAAACGAATTATGAAAATTGCATCTGCAGCTGCGTCTCAGTTGCACAGAAGGACGTGCCACGAAGATGAAGACGATGCCGCACTCCGTTGCACTCGGCTCAAGCCCCACTGGATGCGATGCTCTTAGGACACTCGACTCGCATGTCGTTGGACTGGCATTGAGTGGCCTTATTTTGGCATATAATGGCTGCTGTGCCACAACAACAACAGCAGCAGCAGCAGCAGCAGCGCCCTCACATTATGGCTCTCAGACAATGGGCACAAAAGGCCATTTACTTGCCTTTGAGGCGTGCACCGAGGCCTTCACCCACTTCACCTTAGTGCAGTTCACTTCACATGCATGAAGTGAAGGCTGCAACAACATCTAAAAGAGGGGCCACACCAGAAAGAAGGATGGAAGGCATGAAGGCCGTAAGCTAAGGCCAGCGAAAATGCACTCAGCCAGCCCCACACAGGACGCTCTTTGTTGCCCGCTCGGATCCATTCGGCTGCTCTCATTGTTGATATTGTGGTTGGTCCTTGCACACGGGAGATGCCACTCGGACAGTGGACAGTGGACAGGGGAGCGTATGAGGTGCGGAATAATTGGAAAGTAGGTTGCACATTTAGTTGCCACATCGAGCCAGAGATGCCATAAATCATCCATCCAGGGGGCAACACTTTTCATGCCGGCAATTTGTCAGACGATTTGCAACATTAACAGGCCGTCTCGAGCCTCGAGTGGAGTGGAGCAATTTGTTTAGGCCGTATCGTAAATTAAGTTAATATTTTTCCGGCGAGCCCAGCCAAGTGGAAAGCCTCTGATATCAACGGGCGCTTTCGACAATTCAATTGAAAAACTGGCAAATACATTTGCCGATGGCCAAAACTAAAAGATTGTTGACAGCTCGTTACAGCAACAACAATGCCAGACAGCAGCAGCAGCAGCAGCAGGAGGATGCCGGGCAGGGCTCTGGGCAATGAAAACTATGCAAATGACATGCAATGGCTGGGAAAACTTTGAAAAGCCAGCGCCAGAGCAGCCGGAACCTGCAGGGAGAAGGGATTGGTGGGCTGCTGCAAGGATAGCTGCAGGGATAAGAGATGCCACTCACTCCCGCCCTGCACGAGCACAGACAAGTGTGGAGCGTGTGGAGTCTCTTTCGTGAGGGGGAGGTATTGGGTGGCTGGGCGTCTGGCATTATGCAAAGTTGAGCGATTTGGGATTGCTTTAATGGATAAGCAATATGGCTGAGGCTGTGGCTGGTACACAAATTGGGATAAACAGATATGTAGATAGACATTTGGATAAACAGAAGCAAATTAGAATATGCCGCAAGGAAAGATGTTCTTGGCATCGTTTCTGTAATATTCATCGTGTAATTTATGGTATTCATATTTGAAGTGCTGCCTGGGCCACTTGCAAACTTTAATCATAAAACAAGAAGAAACCACAAAACAGTTCCCAACACTTTCAGGAACTTGAGGACAGCGCTGAGAATACTTCTCTGTGGACATTCTCCGCTCAGCTCCTTCACTCGTCTATGCATTAATTCCTACCTTTTATAATGCAAAACTGAAAGAAATAAGGTGCACTTACAGCGCCGCTCCGCACTGCACTGAGCAGGGGAAGGGCGGGCAAGAGCATAAAGCAAAGTAAATTCCAAGCATGCCATAGCGATGGGCGACTACGTCAAGGACTGCCACTCGACGAGGACCAGGACGACGACGTCAAGAGCAGTCCCCCAAAAAAGTACTAAAAAATGGCGCATTTTTTGTTTGTTCAAATTTCGTCTTGTTCTTCTTCTTCAGTTTCGCTCGGCGAAAACCAAAGACTCGGGCTGCAGGCAGCCTCCCACCTCAACCCTTGCAACATTTTGTTTAAAGTTGGTCTGGAATCTGCCTGCCCCTTTGGCTGCTGCTGTCCCCCTAATTGTGGAAATGAGCGAGCGTGGATTACTTTGCCTTGCTTACAGTTGCTTATGGAATGAAGTGCCCTGGCAGCATACTACCCAGCAGCACTGTGTGCCCCGCACTGTGCACAACAATTGCCATTGCACTCGAGCAGCGAGCAGTGCGTTTACTTTACTGTTATGGCAAAGCTTTTTCCTCTGAGCTTTCTCCACCCCCACAGTGGACTGTCAGCTTTGCTTTTGGCTTTTGGCTTTTTCACTTTACTTCACATTTTTCTAGTTTTCATTTCATTGTTTGCCCCGCCCCACCCTTGGCCCCTTCACCATCATCCTGCACTGCTGACTGGAGCAGCTAAACAAATTTTTTGATTGCACTCGAGCAGAGGTGGAGAGTGGGAAGCAACAGGACTAGCGAGAGTGCAAGGAAGAGCTTAAAACGCATTCCAAATTATCAGCTAATGAGATCGAAATGCCTCAAGGCAACTCCAGCCATCTGCGCTGACAAATTGGATGCGACAGCAAGCAGTTTTCGCTGCATAAATACTCCCGTGAAAGCTTTTGAAGTAGGCGCACTTGTGCAGGTCCTTGGCTTAGAAAAGCGATATGCAAACGGAGGCGATATGCTGCGTTGAGTTGACTCAGAAATCGAATATGCCGTCAAGTGTATTTGCAATCATAACAAACGCATGCAGGACACACAACTGTCAGCATTCGATTAGCGACAGCGAATTAGATTTCATAAACTCTTTAAAAAGAGTCCACGCAGGGAGTTGCTAACGAAATAAATGGCTGTATCAGCTGCTGCTCCTGCTGCTCCTGCAACGTTGTTTGCCAAAGCCACAGCAGAGGGGAGCGGCTGTGTTGCCACATTACGTACACGCCAGCGCGGCCACAGAAACTCACGCTGTGTGTGCGGTCTTGTTTGACTGCCACCAGGTGGCACAGCCACAGCCACAGCCACTACTGCTGCTCCGCTTGCTTTTGCCACTGCCACTGCCACTGCCACTGCTGCTATTCAAGTTAATATTTTCTGCACTTGGCTGCATAATT